CCCCACCGGCCGGGGCACGGCAGGTCCAACGCCGAGCTGCAGCTGCGTTCGGCGGCGAGCACGTCCTCCACGGGCAGAGCCCCTCCGACGCCTGGCACCGCCTCGCTGTCGGGGTTATGCATGCACTGGGCTGGGAGAAACCCTTGGTAGACCAGTAGCCTGGGAACTGGGTGGGACGTTTGGAGCAAAGAAACTCACTCAAATGAGAGACTTTACTGCCTAATCAGTCAACGGCAGAGCAGCTGCGTTCGGCGGCGAGCACGTCCTCCACGGGCAGAGCCCCTCCGACGCCTGGCACCGCCTCGCTGTCGGGGTTATGCATGCACTGGGCTGGGAGAAACCCTTGGTAGACCAGTAGCCTGGGAACTGGGTGGGACGTTTGGAGCAAAGAAACTCACTCAAATGAGAGACTTTACTGCCTAATCAGTCAACGGCAGAGCTGTCAACGTCACTAGAGACAAAGCTGTATTTTAGACTGCTCATAGTCCCCTACAAGAGCAAGTGCTGCTCAGTCGCCATCCCACACCCTGTCGCAGGCGGGTCAGACAGTGTAACCAGGAGGACTGGACACCTGGAAATGGGATCTCCAGCCTCCCTCCCAAAGTGGCATTGTCTGGCCAGCTCTGTCTGGCATCTCTATGCTCTCTCATTTTGGAAATCCATGACTAGAAAGGTGGTTAAAGTGACTCTGCTCCTTGAAACAAGATGTCGAGGGTTTTTTTTGGTTTGTTTGTTTTTGCTTTTGTTTTTGCATAGCCAAAGATATACAGTGGGAGAAGTATAAAAACTCAAAACAGTCCAAACAAGCCTATAAAAGCGTATCTTTCTTTGTCCTCACACTTTCTTGCAAATTCTTATACATACAAGCTACTGTAGTAAATTACAACTCTGGTTTTGGCAATTTCTGCCTCCCTGGCTGCGTGTTTACCTATCATCTTTCACACATACTCTTTTGCCAATTTGTTAATTCTGTCCTATTCCCTGGTTTCTTGTGTTTCCTCAAGGACATTGATCTGAGTCTTACTGTTTCACTAGTTCCTTTAGCCAGTGTTCTTGATCCAAATCCATAGCAAATAACCTATTATCCACAGAGACACAGAAGTATTCAGTATATTCATAAAAAAGACAAATATTTCCCAGTTCATCAGTCATAGACATGATCAAACTCAAGAAATTCTGAAATTGTGAGTGAAGAAAAAATAATTGTGTTTGGACTAACTTTAGAAAATTTCCCAATGAAATAATTTTCCCAAGTGTTTTGAAATGTTTGAGACACCCGTGATGTAAGCGACTAACAGAAATTGAGCTTGGCAGCCCCAGCTCCTCCAGGCTGCCTGCCTTAGCTGAGGCTCCTAATCTACAGTCCTCTCTGCTGGATTTCAACACACCCAGGCTCTGCTGCAGGGATGAAGCTGGCAGATACACCCAGGCCTGGGGCTTGCAGACTCCCAGTTCCACAGCAAGGGACCTGGCCGCAGTGGAATAGAATCAGGCCTGGAGTGTTTGAGCCACAAAACACTATTTAGTGGTTTGGTATTGTTTGGAGTGTAGGTTGAAGTAAACACAAATGCCTTAGTATGAGAAGTTCATCATATCCTTAAAGCCATTACTGTTTGAAACAAGGAATCAAAGAGCAGCTGCTGCTTTACCCTGAGTGATCCACACACCCTGAGAGGTGCTCACCAGCCAAGCCTGCCTGGCGGAAATGCCGCCCTGGTGCAGAAACAATATAGAGCAGGGCGCTCTTTGCTAATGGTTCCTGCAATTGTTCCCTGTGTTAGGAAAAAACCTGAACTTGAGCAATCACATCCATCTTCTGAAAGCGTATGAAAGTCCATCCAGGCCAGCAGACATATCTAAGACATTGCTGTTCCTCTGAAACAAATTACCCAGCTGAACATCAGAGAAATAATGAAGTTGTCAGCAACAAGAGCGCAAGTGTGTTGCTCTGTCAGTCTCATGTTGATTATGCTATCTAGTCAGAGAGCCATACAGAGATAATTTATGCCATGTATCATGTGGCCATGACTACTCCCAGCTGCACTGCATTTAATACAAGTTACAGCAGAACACTTTACAAACAGAAATTAACAGGCTTTTCATAGCCGGCAATTTCTAGATTAGGAAAGAATAAATTAAAAATAGGATTTACCAAAATTGAGCCTGGAACAAAGCTGAACAGAGGCAGACACACACAACTCGAGGAACAACTTTTTTTTAAACTACAGCTATACAGTGATGCTGTCTTCAAAGATCAGAACAAACTTTAGGGTTGTGACATAGTCATTAAAAAGACCAAAAGGAACCTGTAAATATATAGATGTGTCATTACAACTTACAGTAATTAGCAATGTACTTACTAATATAAGGCCTATTTCTGAAGATGAACCTCTGTTTTCTTCAAAACTTGAGGTATAAAAGCACTAAACAAATATCATTTTTCGTAACAAGTAAAGAAACAACTTTGATAACAGAACAACTTCCTATTATTTCATGCCTCCCAAGCAACGTATATTTAACTAAACAGATACTCCTTGAAGAGCAGAAATCTGTTTCAGGGCAATGACTTCTCTTTGACAAATATTTTATAGTCATTAAAAGTAGGCTTTTCAAAAAACAAGAATAAAGTACCATTTCAGAAAAACTTTGATACTGAGGACAAGGAATAGGAGGAGGGGGACTGTTTTCAAAGGCTAACAGTTACTTGGGGAGAATAATTTTTCCAGGTCTTGATAGAGATGGACTATTCTAGGTAACTACAATTCAAAACAAGAGCCTATTTGTCTGCATTATCAGAGAAAGAGCCACAAGGAGATCTCTTTCACTAGACCAGCTTTTCCAAATAGCCCCGTGGGTCATCTCTGTAATAGAGCAACATCACACTGCCTGGCTAGGATAGTTTTACACAGGCTGGAATTCATACTGCAATCATTTGGTCTGATGTGACTGTTCATTTACATTTTAGTGAAAACGAAAATAACTCTGAGGAGTTATAACCAGCGTCTCACAGGGGCAATACAAAAACCTAAGCAGAATAGAAGTGATTGCTGGAAAGTAACCCCAGGCTTTCTACTGCAATTCTATTTCGTATTGAGTTTAAAAGCACATTTAAACATCCATTTTTGCTGAGCATTTATGATAGCCTTCAAATCGTGAAGATCCCAGATCTACTAAAGAGGCAATGCACATGGACATAAAAGAGTTCTTGCTGAAGCTTTTTTATAATCTATAGAGACAAAAACATATGATCATGTAAACTTTAGAAGGGGTATGAGGCACAGCAAATTCAGCAACAAGACTGAAAATATGATTGTTCTTTCATGAACTCCAGTGTTTCAAGAAAGTCAAATTAAAATGCGGGAAATACAATCAAATCTTTCCTGTGTAGAATATAGAACATTGGTAAGATACTTTGCCAAAAATCATCACTTTTTTATTGCAGTGGAGGCTTTTAAAATATGTAGCAGTTAGAACAGCAGTTCATTAGAACATCTCATTGCTTTCTTTAAGCCCTGTACTCGTTGTGGCTGGGATAGAGTCCGTTTTCTTCACGGTAGCTGGTATGGGGCTACGTCTGGGTTTGTGCTGGACACGCTGTTGATAGCACAGGGCTGTTGATTACTGCTGAGCAGCACTGACACAGAGTCCAGGCCTTTTCTGCTTCCCACCTCACCAGTGAGCAAGCTCGGGGTGCACAAGAAGCTGGGAGGACACAGCCAGGACACCTGACCGAAGGGGTGTTCCAGACCATATGCCATCAAGCTCAGCACATGAAGCTGGGGGAGGAAGGAGGAAGA